GCTCGGCCCCTTCCCCGGCTCCGGTCCCCATCCCCCGTGTCCCGGGACCGGGCCCAGCACCCACCCGTGCGCCCGGCAGCGACCCCAGCACCCGTTTTTCCACCTCTCCGGCTTCTCTCCAGCCTTAGGGGGGTGTGTGTGTCCCCGCAGCCAACTCCCGTGTCCCAAACCCCCTTTCTCACCGGGCACCGCTGGCTCCCAACCGGCCACGGGTGGGAACAGCCCAGGGCCCAAAATGCTCCAAAATGGCCCGTGAGTGGGGCCAGCGGGTCTCAGTACCCCGGTCCCCATCCGACGGCCCGGGGGGGGCCACCCCGCACCCGCAGCCCCTCACGCCCCGGCCACGCTGCAGAGAGCACCTGTGAGAAATGTCTCCAGCGTGAGCTGCCGCCCGCCCAGGGAGCGGAACTGGACTTTGTTTTCTCCCACTGTTGACAAAGAAATATGAGAAGTAACCTTGAAACTGGTCCCAATCCTGTCCCCTCCGCAGGCTTTGGCCAGGGGTGAAGAGGAGGTGACAGGGACACTGGCAGGGGCACAGGAAGCAGTACCTGGGGGACACGCCTGCAGTCGGTCAGACCAAATTTTTCCCCCTTTTGCCTCAAACCCACTTTCCCAGGCTGGGCTGAGCCACATCCAGAAGAGAGGGGCTGGGAAGGGGAGCGAGGGATTCCTCACTGGGAGAAGCAGCAGGAGCAAGACACGGACAGGGGGAAACGTGGGATGGAGGGCTCAGCGACAGGCAGCCTGCAGCCCCCACAAGAGCTGGGAGCCTCCCCCCAGCCAGACCCTGGCCTCTGGGCCACCCGCCGGCTCCAGCCATGCAGCAGGTCAAACCACAGCCACGTTCAGCCCAAGAGCTGCAGCACCCGGGGGCCTCCCCGAGCCACCAGCATCAGCCCCCTGGCAGCACGGGAGATGAGGGGACATGCTGCTGTCTGGTGGGGGGAGTTCACAGTACCCACGGGAAGGCTCAGAGTGACCCAAATTCACCTGGCTTTTGCTGGAGCTAGGCCAGGTGGGGTAAAGCAGCCCCCCAACACGGCAGGGCCGGCACAAGAGTATGCCCAGCCCAGCCAGGTTCTCCAACACTTCCCTGTTTGTCCCCACGGGCAGGACAGGGCCCTTGGCAGCACCTTCTCCAGCACACTGTGGGGCACTGCCAGGGACATGCAGCAGCAACACCCCGACAGGCCTGCGGCACCCCTTCAGTGCAGGCAGAGGACAGGGACCAAGACCTTGTGGAACCTTTATTGAGGGCGATCCCACTTGTTGTGGTCTGGGGGAGCTGCCAGGAGAGCAAACCCCACGGGGGGAAGGACAGGGTGCCACCATGCCTGCTTGCCCAGCCCCAGCCCAGCTGGCACCCAGAGCCTTGCCTGGGGCAGGAACCCAGCCAGCAGCTGGCACAGGAACCGCACCTGGGGAGCTGACGGCTTCCTTGTGACTCAGGGCACCCCCGTGGCACCCCCGCAGCTGGATGACTGCAGGAGGGGACACAGAGGGCAGCAGTGGCACTGTCCCTGCATCCTCTGCATGCCTGGCCTCACCAGGGTCCTTTCTCAGAGAGGTAAGAGCCCACCAGTACCATGACTAGCCCTTCCAGCAAGCAAATGGAGAATGCCAGCCTGCCTTTTCCCAGCCCAAAGTTTAATTTCTGTCCTCTGAAACAGATCCAATTAAAAACGCCCCCACAAACTGTATGTAAACATTTGAAAAAACCTATAAGGAACAAACTACTGGTCACAAGAGCAGAGGGGAAGGATTATCCAGAGGCTGAGCATTGGGCAGAGGTCAGGGCTCGACTTGCACTCGCGTGGTTACAGCTGCTGGACCCTGACAGCTCCTCTAGCCAGCATGGGCACAGCAGCCCCAGCTGGGGAGCAGGTCCCTTGCAGCCAGGGCTCTGGTCCCTCTCTCGATGAGCCCCGGAGGTCAGTTTTGCTTCCGTTTGGTCAGTTAAGTTGTAAACTACAGAAGGTTTCATCTCTGCAGGAAGAGCAGCCAGCTCGGCGCTGAGCGCTCTGGAGGAGGCATCCGCCCGGTGCTGCAGGTAAAGTCTTTTCCTGGCCACACTGCCGCAGTGTGGGCACCTTCTCATCTCTCTCAGCTGGGCCTTCAGTCTGATTTCTTGGCGGGTTTCCTGCTCTTCCACATCACGACCATTATAAAAACGCCTACCATCAGAGAGAGAAGAGATTCAGCCAGAAAACTTCCAATTATGGGCCCTTTTAAAACATATTGTAGGGAGAAACAGAACGTCAGCAGAGCAATCAAGGAACAATTAAGCTGTCCAGAGCCTCAAACAGCCAAAGTTACACACAAACACATGCCCCGAGAGCCTGTGCCAGGTGAAGATGCAGTAGTAGCCACAGAGAGTGTGTCACAGACGTCATGCATTAGCTAACCCCCTAGCAACCCTGTTCTCTCTTCCTAATTTAGAAGCTTCTAATTAGAACTACAGAAACAACACTCACCTATAAATAGGACTAGCAGCAGCCCGGCGACCACAGGGATGATAACAGCGTACTCCCTCGGCAAGAAGTACTGGTGGATCCCATGGTTGCTGTTGATGAAGGGCTGCAGGAGACAGAGCGGGGTGTCAGCAGGTGGGGACAACACCAGGGCAAGTCCCTCACACCTGCAGCCTCATGGTTTCAAAAGCAGGACAGAAATATCAGGCCTGAAGAAACAGCTTAGGAAAAAAAAAAAAAAAGGGTGCCCAGACCCTCATGTGGCTCAGCTCACAGCTGCAGGGATGTGACAGTGGGTGGGCAGTGAAGGTGTCAGGGGGCAGCAGATAACGAGGGGCAGCTACACGAAGCCAACACAGGGGTCCCACAGCCCTGGTGCCTCGGGGTCGGCACAGCTGCTGGCCTGCTTGGTGCGGTGTACAGCAAATCCCCCGACTCTCTGCCCCGAAGGGAGCAGCTGATAACGGCTCTGCTCAATGGCGATCCCACCAGGATCCCCTCTGCGAGGCCAGTGGAAAGCTTTGGACACTAGAGAGCAGTGTCAGGATTCCTACACAGCAGCGAGCACACCTCTGCACTCCTGTACAGGGCAGCAGAGTAAGCATATGCCAAGAGGGGAATTCAAAACTCTGAGGGGAAGCTGCCAGGAGTTCAGACATCAACCCAGGGCTGAACCAGGCCTCTCATACCTGGAAAGCTCACAAGGAGATATTTCCTTCCAGGAAGAAAACCACTAATGATCCCACCTGATGTGTCCCTAGACATGGGCAAATGTCAGGCTCACAATCACTTCCCCAAAGATCTGCATTCCCTAAACATTTCTCCTCCCTACCAGGCTCCAGATTTGGTAAGTTTGGTATGTCTTCCTCCATGATCCCCCACCCGAACCAGGAATCTGGAGGACTGCAAACACGAACACTGATGACACCACCTCCAGAGGGGTCAGGCTTCAGCTCCTGCAAGCCTCAGATCTTACACCAGCCAGATCAGCAGCCTTTGAGCAGCAGGGCTGGCAGCAGGGTCAGAGCTTGGTATCACAGGCAAGGGCTTTTGCCAACAAACAGAGGAAGCTCTGCCTTTAAAGTTTTAACCAGGGATCTGGCAAGGCAGAGTCCTTCAGGCACACAGACACATCAGCACCTAACAAAGCCCAGGCAAACAACTGGGTGTGAAGTGACTGGGATTATAAAGGCCAGAGGAGACCCGTACCAGTATGATGATCCAGAGGGTGTAGTAAACAAAGAGGACGAGGCTGAAGGCAACCAAGCCGAATCCAACCACCTGGTCTGTTGCTGTGGCCTGCAAAGGGAGAGAGTCAGAGTGGGATCTGCGCGCTGCAGGGTCTGCGCAGGAAGTTAATGGGCACCTGCTGTTCCTTCAGCCCCAGGTTACATGAACGCACCGCTGCGGGTCTGAAGCACGCAGGGAAGGGGAGAGGCTCTGCCACAGAAATAACGCACCGCGAGGGCGGCAGAGAACGGCCTGGTCTTGCGGCTGGGGGCGCTCCCGGAGCTCCCGTCCGGCCGCGCCAGCTCACGCTCCCACAGCTCTGTCCCAGTCCTCGCAAGTACCGACCCCCGCCGGCACCGGCGCTGCCCCAGAAAGGC